AGCTACGACCTGTGCCGCAGAAATCAAAACCCTCATCTCCTCCCGCTAAGGAAAAATGGTCGAAAGAGAACCATCCAGCATACCAAGCGGGTTACCGAAAACCGACTGTTGAGCCCGCTCCGCCCGAAGAACCCCAGCCCTCGCCTCCTGTATCATTCTCCGTAAACGACAACGTCCTAGCCCGATGGGCGTCGGGAGATAACTCATTCTATCCGGCTCGCATCACATCCATAACCGGCTCATCCACCAACCCCATCTACATAGTTTCCTTCAAGTCATATGGGACCACTGAAACCCTAACGTCCAGGGATATTAAACCCATCACTGAAACGCGAAAACGTAAGGCTGATGGACTATCAGGCTCCACATCCCCACAGGCTCTTCCTGCCAATTCTAGCGTGATTTCTGCTGCGGCGGATATCAACCCGGCTCTGGCCACCCAGGCGCGCAAGGAGCCAAGCAAACCAGGCGATGGCCCAACGCGCCCAGCGAAGATGCCCCGGAAAGTCAGAGCCAATAAGGAACTGGAGGCTGGCAAGAGCAAATGGCAGGACTTCGCGGCTAAGAGCAAGTTAGGAAAGGTTGGGAAGAAAGAGAGCATGTTTCGGACTCCTGAAGGGATCAACGCACGAGGTGAGAAATTCCTTATACCCTCTTTTATATAACATTAGCTGTCAAGCCACGTACCCTGACGCGGTATCCTTTTCAAATTTGAAATATGCTAACTCATTTGTGTCTCTACTATAGTTGGCTTCACTGGCTCTGGCCAACAGATGCGCAAAGATCCAACGAGAAGCCGGCATATCTATCAACAAGCCGAAGACGACTATTGATTTTAAGTCTTATTTCTCATACGTTTGGCTCGACATGGGTGTTCTCAGGCGCTAGATATGGGGGACTTCTTTTTACCATTTTTTTTTGGTTGCTCAGACATACCTCTTTTCACTTTCCCCGGTCTCCTTTGCCTTTTCTGACGAGGACTTGTCTTTTATTACTTTACACTCTCATCGCTAACTTCGTATCATGGTCTCTCGAGCAGATTCCTTACTGTGTTACCAACCAATCCGATGGCAGGGAAGGGGTCATTGACATTAAATATTCGACCAGATTCCTTTTCTTGCTTTTCGAAGGCGTTTTCAAATAAAGGGTATTCAATTCGTGCGTTCTCGATAGGTGGCATTTGTAACCCCCCTTCCAAAACCTTTCCCATATCCCGTGTTTTGTTTTTGTTTTAATTTAATGAATCTATCTGATCAAATGAAAATGCAATGGAATTTTTCTAGTCAGACCCATATGCTGCAATGACTGTTCCTGGGCTTATCACGGGCCTGGCGGAGCAGAGCTATTCGAGTTGCTTGTGAAAAACCGAAGCTTATATAGCCTGTACTTTGACGGTGAACCAATCTGGATATGTATGATACGTAGGTAGTCAAAACTTCAAACTAGCGCATATAGAATAAACAATGCATAGTCAGATAGTCACATGAATTACTTGGATATGTGAATTCTGTTGACTGCGTATGCAATCTCATAGTTCTCATAGTCCTAAGTGGACGTAACCATTACGCTCACTAAACGGTAATCCTCCTTTCATGCGACCTCGTCCACTCACTTGGTATATCATTAGTAGTTCATTGAATCCGCCACCAGTAGCCATGACATCTCCACATCCATCTCCAACTTTGTCTAGGGAACCGGCCACTGGCTGGGCCAGGAAAGACGTCCTGAAAAGGTCTGACGCGAACAGCCAATTTGTTTGAAACTCCCTTTATATACAGCGTACATACATGGAACATACATCACCATGGATCATCATACTAACCCCAACTACCCATCACAAACACATGCCATGGATACATTTTGGCAACAAGGACACACAGTCGAACGAATCTTTCATGCAAAATGCGTCCTGCCCCGAGCCGAGTGTGCCAGGTTGATGTTTACTGTCAGGGGTTAATTCAACATGTAGGTGGTTGCATGTCCCTTTCTATATAATATGTATATTATAAATATATTATTTGCTATTGTGACAGCTCTAACCCCCGGAATTCATCCTATGATATTACATCCTAGTACCCCTTAATCATTGCCGCTAAAAAAGCTACTCCTTGTGTTTGTCATATATATAAACGAAGCATGATAATTCCGATACCTCTATATGAATTACACAGGCTCTCCTAGACCTCCCTTCCGCTTTCGAGAAAACGAACGTCTCTCAAGCTCTCCGCAAGGATTTCCCTTCCCTCGCCGTTCCCCACATAGATGCGCCCTCAAACTGCCCAGACACATGATCTCCGATGCCAGCGGCGGGCGTATCGTTCTTATCTCCTCCATCAGCGCCCACCGCGTAAACTACCCGCAACCCCAGGCCGCCTACAACGTCTCCAAAGCCGGCATTCTGCAGCTCCGTGCCTCTCTCGCAGCAGAATGGAGTCAGTACGGCATCCGTGTCAACTCCATCTCTCCGGGCTACATGGACACGGCACTCAATGAGGGCGATGCGTTGGCACCATGTCGCCAAATATGGGCCGATAGGAATCCCATGGGGAGGATGGGGGATCCCCGGGAGATGGCAAGTCCCGTGGTGTTTTTGTGTAGTGAGGTGGCGGGGAGTTACGTGAATGGGGCGGATATTGTTGATGATGGTGAGTAATCTTTTCCATTTTCCTTTCTTTTAACCTCAATATGTGTTTCTTTTTGGGAAGGTTATTTGAAGATGAGCTTCTTCTAATTAATATTATTTTATTAGGCGGTGGGCTGGTCTTTTAACTTTAAATAAATAGGGGTAATGCAGCATTCAGGCGACTACCGGCATCCGTTGGCTTATTATTTTTATCCGGCAAAGGTTTCCAATCCTTTTAAGACTTTATCTATGTAGTTTGGGAAAGGCCATCGCTGGATATGTATGGGAGTTGCATTGGTAGCAGAGCAGATATATAGATATTAGTAGCTCGACGCTCGATAACAATAGAGCAGATAGTAGACAAATAAATTTTAACACAACCAAGAGAAGTATCAGTCATCTCTACGCCATTTCCTAACTCCGGAAAAGTCTAAGTCCTCCCTCTTCAACATCCTCGTCCTCATCCTCATCATCCTCACCCAAAACATCCCTCGCACTTTTTCCTAGCAACGAAGCGAAGAACTCCTCCCGCGCGCTATCCCCCCATGTGCCTCTGTCTTCCGGAGGCATGAAATTCTGCAGCTTCTCGTGGACAGTATACCGCATCTTACGGCCCTTGGAGGCCTTGGTATCTACAGCTCTTTTAACCTTATCCTTGCGCATCCCGGTGGTAGGATGGATAGCAAGGAGGGAGGGAAGTTGCATCTGCAGTGTCTCGATGCCGTTGTTGGCAGACATGCGTTCTTCCACAAGGTCGCGGAGTAGAGTCTGGTAGAAGATGGAGTCGTCGTACATTTCGTTTACTTCGTGGGGGCCATTAGAGGTACCGTTGGTTTGTTGGCGTTCTTGGACGTCCTCTGTAAAGGTGCGTTTGGATGAGCGGCTATCAAGTTGGGTGGCAATGTGGGCATCCAGCACGGAGGTTATTGTTTGCTGGTCGGTTGCCCCGTGATTCAGTAGCTTGCCTCTGGCGTTCGGTAGTGCAGCTCTCGAACCACGTGTTTTTAAAGCCCATTTATCAAGCACAGCGCGACGGTGAAGTCGTGATTGTGCTTCGATTTCCTCCATGCGATGCCAAATATCGGCTGACGAGGTGGAGGCGGAAGGAGGCGGGCCTCGTTTTCGTTTTTTAGATGATGAGGTGGTGTTCCTGGTTTGGGCATTAGCAAGTGCATGTCGAAGATCTTCGATCGTACTCCAAAGAGCTAGTGCCGCAGCTTCAGCGGACTGGATCGAGGACTGGTGAGCTGCATTATCATCCTCTAACGTAGATGATAGACCGTTAAGAGATGTAATTCCTTTCTGAAGTTTGATACGTGCGTTCAATATGGCGCCGAAAGCTGACCGCTGACGCTTGACCGACCTCCCCTTCGCAGCATCTGCTTTGGCTGCTTGAGATAGTGACGCTGCAACAGTTTTGTGATCTGAGGCCATGAGTCGTCTTATTTCAGCCCGGTCGTCTGATAGGGCGGGGCCGTCCTCCTGTTTATCATCTTCATCTTCATCATCGTCTTCGTCTCCAGAAATTTCACTTTCAGACTCTCCTTGATCATCTTCACCCTCGTCATCACTGCTATCGCCAAATCCCTGATCGCTTTCAGAATCCCTTGCTCCGTCTAGCTCTTTATCAGACCCCAGCGCATTATCCATATCCTCGGATTCTGCATCTGAATCATCTTCTCCCAAGTCTCCACTTTTCAATCCATCAAGCTCATCAGATAACCATGACGCGTCCTCGTCGCTTGAATCTTTGCGGAATGGATCATCTTCACTCTCGTAGCCTTCAAGTGCCTCTCGACTAACTCGCGAGCCAGCATATTCGCGCCCGAGAGTTACTTTCTCTGGTTCGCGGAGCTTGCTCTTTCTGTTGAGGGGGTTAGTTAAAAATTTAGCTGTAGATGCAGTTTGAGTTGTAGCAGGGTCACTCACCCAACAGCTATGTAATGCTCTCGACCGGCGTTAGCATTATCATCCTCCGCTCCAGAAGACTGATCGTCGCTGCTTTCCGCGCGGTCATTTAAATCTTCTGGATCGAAATCTAAAGGTGGTGTTAGTTGGCCGCTCAGGGAAAGAAAATTTCGCAGAGAATGCGGGCTCACCTTTGGGAGTTGGATCTTCCAAATCAGCAATTTGCTCCGCCAGAGACTTCACCCGGCCACGGTTATTTGCCATGGTTGCCAACTTTATGAAGTCAATCTCATCGTTTGGTAGAGAAGCGTTGTGCTGAGATTTTGGGGGTTTTTTTTTCTTTCTTGTTGGTAATTTTTGCTCGTCGGGTAAAACTTCCATTCTGGGCGGGTCCCTTCGGCAGAGCCAGGCCGCATTGCCGAGTCACATGATCAAATATCAATGCGAATATTAGGAAAGCTTCATCGTGACGATATTGGAGACGGGAGAGTTGAATCGGGATCATATTTATCATGATGTGAACGCCAACATGAAGGTAATTCAGAATCAATTGTTCTCAGTCAAAATGCGCCGCAACTTCTTTTCCACACTGCGACCTCTTCACCATGACAATCCGCTGGTACATACTTCATCATTTCTACCTACCTATTTTTCCGATTCCGATGTACCAAACTAAGATGCTGATTCCAGGGCTTGCCCCGGTCTGGAACTCCTCCATCATTCCCTCGTCGACGAGGCCTCCCAGAAAAAAGGAAAATCCGGGATGTCAATAAGGTCGTTGCAGTCTCGTCCGCCAAGGGCGGAGTCGGGAAGTCTACAATTGCTGGTGCGCAGTATCTTGAGTTCTCCGTGCCCGCGTTGACCGGAGTGCGGCGCTTTCTCAGTGAACCATTAGCTGAATACATTTATAGTGAATCTTGCACTGGCTATGGCCCGTCAAGGCATCCGTGCCGGAATTCTCGACACAGACATTTTTGGTCCTTCCATACCAACCCTTCTAAATCTCTCAGGAGAACCACGTCTGGACGAACGTATGAAACCTTGCATGATTCCTTGAATTATCTACTAGAGCCATGAAAATTAACTACTTTTTCAAACTTCAGATAATTGTCTCGTCCCCCTTACGAATTACGGGCTCAAATCCATGTCCATGGGATATCTCCTTCCCCCTCCACCCGCCGACGCTAAACACCTCACCGACGATCCAACCTCGCCCTTAATGGATACAACTCCCATATCGTGGCGCGGCCTTATGGTCACGAAAGCAATGCACCAGCTTTTGCACTCCGTATCCTGGGGTCCTCTTGACATCCTTATACTCGACCTTCCTCCAGGGACAGGCGATGTACAGCTTACCATTGGCCAGGAAATAATTCTAGACGGAGCCGTAATCGTATCAACGCCTCAGGATATTGCTCTACGTGACGCAGTGCGGGGATTTGGTTTGTTTGAAAAGTTGCACGTCCCCGTCCTGGGCATGGTTAGGAACATGGCCTATTTCGCTTGCCCGCATTGCGGCAAGGAGACGAAGATATTCTCCCGGAAGGGACCATCGCAGCCATCAGGGGATAATTTGGAGGCGGGACATGCGCATGGTTCTGACTCGCACAACAACGGGGGCGTGGTGGCGGCTTGTGAGCGGCTTGGTATAGATTTCCTGGGCGACATTCCACTTGATGCGCGTGTGTGTGAAGATGCGGATAGGGGCATGCCTACTGTTGTGGCGGAAGAGAGCGACGAGCGAAGTACGAGGAGAAATGCGTTTATGAGTGTTGCCGAGCAAATTGTGCGCAAGGTTGGGCTGGAATGGCGATGAGAAAATCCGGCCCCTTGTAGGTTGGATATCCGTGTATTTTTATAAGTATGCTTTTTCATCATATGTTGGCATGATGACTCAAACGCAGTGTTAACGAGACCTGCTGCAGAGGCCCTTTTGGCTAGCTAATATCCCTTTCTTAAATAGAACCGAATATGATACCGTCCGCTCACAGTCTGTTTCAACTGCGAAAATAGCGGTCAATAAAATAGCTCGCGAATGGCAATAGAGAGAATATGAAATCCCAGCAACATTTGGAAGCATGCAAGAAACGAATGGCAGAAAAGAAAGAAAAAGGAAAGGTAAGAGAGACGAAATATAGAAAATAAATACGCCAGTTAACTCATCTGGCCGGGGTTCCCCTACCCGTCCATTAACACTATGCTTTAAGGCCTTCCTTGAGTTCCCGAGATAAGCGTGATGAAATCTTCATCTCGGAAATGTAACCGTCTCAAATGTTGACAGAAAACTATCTAGCCAATTCGAAGTCATACCTGGACTTCCCTTTTTTGCGTCCAAATAGCTGAACGCCATGTGTATCCTCGCTGACATCGCCGCCTATCGCGGCCTCCCGCTCAACGGGCAACTGGCCATGAGAGGCACATGCGATTTCACTCCGCTCACCGTCAAACTGACCACCAATGCTCTCCATGACATTCTGCTCTGGGACAGGTGGGTCAGGGATTACAGATGTATCCGGGGTCTCACGTGGAGTTTTAAATCCCATGTCTGGCCTCGATCTGCTGAAGAGCGGAGAAATAACGCCCTCCGCATCTTTTTTTATTGACCTTGCACTTGCGTCATCCGTGTATACGGACGAGGGCCGTCTGGCATATCGGTCGTGATTCAGAAACCGAGGACCAGCGGAAAATCCCGGCTGGAATTCTTCTGGCGGCTGTAGGCCGGAAGTTGTCGCGTCGAGACCTACCTGTGCGCTAGTTCTTTTCGCAGAACGTGGGGGAGGCTCAATCATTGGAAATGATTCGGACGCCTGACCAAGATCCAATACGGTTTGCGATTGACGTGAGTGGCTCTGTATTCGTTTGACTCGTGGCAAAAATTTTTCCCGCAGCGAAACCTTTCTAGAGAGTGATTTGGGCACACTTGATTTCGGATTAACACGAATATCCTTTCCTCCTGATGTTTTCGGCTTTTCTATAGCCTCCGTATCATGTTTTCCTGCCATGCGACTCCATAGCCACATAGCGCGGTTCGTTTTATGTTCTCCCTCTTCATAGGCAACAAAAGTGTCCTTTCTCGATGCCAATGAACTTGGCGGAGGATATTCACCATGTCGAAATACGCCAATTCCCTGTTTAATCTCTTGCAGCCTTTGTTGCTGCACAGCTGATTTCTGCTTTGCAAACTTAATATCCCATGCCTCCTTGGCTCTCAGCCACTTTGACACTGGGCCTGGTTTGGGGACACCAATTTCCTCGGGCAGCATTTGTAGGGCAGGAAGATGGGATCGCGCTGCTAAGGGATATATGTTACCTTTGTCATCAACCCGTTGGCGGATCATGTAGTCCTCGAATGGGGGAAGAGGATCGCCAGCCTTCCCAATCGTAGTGAAGCCTGAGTATGGGCTGGGTGGCGCGCTTTTCTGAGCCGATGTGTGCAGGTTATCAGATTCACTTGATGAAATCTCCGATTCATGGCTAGGAATATCAATGCCTCTCTTCTGGGCTCGAGCCAACGCCCAAGCTCCGAATTGGGCTATCGATCGAAACATATACTTTGCAGGGCGAGTGAAGCTGAGAGTAGGGGTAACATGACAAAGACCATCCCAAACTTGGAGTTGGACGAACGTTGGCGGATATCTATTTATAGCCCGGCGGTCGGGATCGTGACGGTCTAGGTATTCCTCGCTTGGTAGGAAGTAAGTTGGGTCAGCAGCTTTATGGGCTAGATAAATTTGCTCATCACGAAGGAGCTCTGCGCTCCCGGTAAGGACCAGCATTGGGGGCAACCCGCCCAATGATGGCTGGAGGACAGGGGAAACAAGCGGGTGTGAGAGCAATTCATTTGTGGTGTACATATGGATCTGATCCTTCAATTCAACGAGTTCTCCATCGATTTCGACCACCAGGGGGCGATTTCGATTATGGAATATATCATGAGGTTGAGATATTGAGGAGACGTAAGACCGGCCTCCCACGGAGGTGGACTTGCTGTTTACCGACGGTGTCCGACGATAGGAACCTCGTCCAGCAGCCTTAGCATCCTTGGCACTGCTCGAGGTAGGGCTTGAAGTGCGTAAGCTCCCATCAACTCGGGCAGCTTCCCCCGCCTTGGTAATGGCATCCAATTCGTCAGAGTTTGGAGGAGGCCATGATATAGAAGGACGGTGCATGAAACCGTAGGGAGGAATATAATCCCCAGCTCCGTCACCGGCCACAGATGGGAATGAGTGCGTTAGGTCAACCCATGGAGATATTAGGATGGAACCCGCAGGTAACGGCATTCTTTGATCGCGAAGAGTCACCATGATACTAACTGCAATGTTAGTTACGGAACCCTTGTTTGGAGGTGTAAATATATCGATTGGTCACTGACGACAATGCCATCCCAGCCCCCGCAGAGTCACCGGCTATTATGATTTCCGACGGTTTATACATGCTTAAAAGATATAGGTAAGCCGCAAGGCAATCTTGCAACGCGCACGGGAAGGGAAATTGTGGGGCCAACCGATAGGCAGCTGTGAATTGTTAGATGCTACGAGCTTATATATGCCGTCATCCGCAAAATGACTATCAGAAGCTTTCAAACTTACTATCCGCAGGTTAGCTTGTGTGATACCGTATAAAATGACAGGTGTGCATCGACTTACCGAGCCAAAACTCTAGCTTTCAATTTCCTTGCATGTCTCTGTATCTGATATCGATGTGAATTCAGGCTCCCAAAATAGTATGCTCCCCCATGTATATATAGCATCACTCGATTGCAACGGACACCTTGCCGTTGCCGGTCGGCAAAATCGCGCTGCATTTCTACCCACTCCCCTTCAAGCGAGGGCTTTTTCCCCCTCCATTTCCACCATTTGTTGCCTCCAACCTGTGACAGCCCCTCAGAGCCCAGTTGGATAATAATGAGGTCTGCTGCTGATGCCAGATGGTCGTCGGGAATTCTAACCCTATCTACCTTTATCCACCTAGGGCTAGGGACCCACTGGGACGTGAAAGTCTGCAATTGTTCAACGGTATGGAGAGAGGAGTGGTATAAGAATTCGCGAATGATACGAAGACCTTGATGGTAGGAAATACGTGCCGTAGGCTTCGATCGATTGGCTTTGCGATTTGTATACTAGATCTGGTTTTAGTCTTCCAATGTTTGAAGTAGAGGTACCTTGTGAAGAAATTTGTGGATCGGATTTACATGGGATAGAAATGTTGAGATTATAGTGGGTGTCACTGCGACGCTGACGGATAGGGCGTTATAAGGCATTGTGTGTAAGCCCGCCAGATATTCGATAGTATCAATTGAGAATAGAATGGATGGTCTGATGGTGATTTGAAACCCGAGCGGATCCGCATCCCTTTTAAAGGGTTAGTTGATCGCTGGAGCAGATTAGCCGTAGAAATTTAGAAAGAGAGTTAACACTAATCTTATAAAGCTGAATGACAGGAAACGAAAAAGTAAATGCTTGTGGTTGGTTGTGGGTATGGTATGGAGAGAAAGCGATTCATCTGGCGATGATGTCATCTCTTTCGGGCAACTAGTGTATTTTTGGCATAACTAAAGGCGTGCAAACTTTAACTTGACCTCACCGCTTGCACGTGAAAATTGATAATTATCTTCCAAATTAATTCTGCGCAGTGTACGGAGTATCAATAACATCAATCCACCTAGGATTTTTCTCCTGGCTTTTCATGTTTGCCGGTACTGATAGACATGAAACTCTTGAATAGCGATAGACGGCGTTTTTGCTGTTCCAAGCTACCAATGCTCCAACTATCGCTTGCAACGATACACCGCGCATTCAGCAAAGCAGAAATCAAATGCGGCGCGAAAGCTAATTTTTTCCCTAGTTGCACAGCAGCCAATTTGCTTGCCCGCGGCCCGCTTCCTCAAAGTAATTCTCCATTCAGGATCAAACTTTGGTTACCCCTCTCTGTTTGCTATTCCTGGGCTCTTCGTCCAATTCCTGACGAAGTTGAAATGCCCTCCTAACCCTGGCACTCGGGTAGCGAAAGCGAAACTACCACCCTTTGTAAACCATGCGATCTGTTTGCCGTTTCCTTTGCGCTCTCAAGAGTGGAAACTGTGCATTGCCCGTGAATACCCGAGCCGCAAGAGGCGTCGATGGGCAATTTAGTGTGAAATTTCTCACCTCCCCAATGAAGGCTAATGATGGATCACCTTCATGGAACATATGGGTATGAGCCTGGAACACGGTTGTTCCTCATGGGTATGTACTGTACAATAAAATTGGCGAGCTCCATATATCTGGCACCAAGTATGATATGGTCAACGCTTGATGCAAAACGGGACAGACCACAGGCGCCTCAACAATGTCGACCTGGCTGCGGGCACTGAGGCTCCAATACGACCACCCTCTATTTGTTATCTTGGATAAACATACCAGTATATCCGGTGCAAGCTCAGAAGGACCACTAATACTACCAAGGGAAAATGGAAGATTATAGTGACATTTTGCCACACAGACAGCGTCGGGGTGCCTCTCAGATCAGGAACCAAATTTTTTCCCTGTGCGGTTATTCTGCAATGCTAACTTCCATTGGGCTGAGCCTCCAGAATTTTCAACGTTATCAACGGTAATCGTATATCATCTTAGATCTTGATACCCATTGCGTTTGAGAAGGTCTTCAATGAAATGTCTAATCACAGACTGATGTTGAAATGGCACGTTCAGTCCATGGATTCGGGTTGAACTAACTGATTTGATATCCAAAACACTTTCTTGGGAAGTTCCACAATTTGAGCATCGATGTCGCCTCCGGAGTGTGATAGGCGGATGTATCTGCAACTTGTTTGTGAGAAGACTAAGGTGAATATATTTCGGTGCCATTATTGGCCTATCTACACTTCTAACTATTAGGTCCCGGAAGTCGGATAAATATTTGTTTGAGCGCTTCTTCATCCTCGATCCTAATGAATGGGATAATGATTTTCAATCAGATGATCAACCAGGAACCTCGAAGCTGCTAACGGGTCGAACAAACCAACAGCTGTCATCCATGTCTCATTGTGAAAACACCCGTATAAGTTTGAATTCTTCCTCCTGGAGACATCAACAGATACTGTCTTTAAATCCTGTTCTGTAGGACCAGCATCCGGTCTTTGTCTTCGATATGCTGAGGGAAAATATCATTTCTCCTTGCTAGGGGCTAGTTTGTTAAAACTAGATGGAAAATAACGTATTTCTAAGTGGCCAAAGATATTTCTGAGTGATATGCGGAGTACACTCTTCGATCTAAGATGAGTTCATACCCAAACAATTAGGTAGGACGTTTACTAGTCTTGTGTTCCACTTGGTTGCATTTTTCCTTCCAGGTTCACCAGATCACCCGTAGCCGCTCGTTTCTGATCAATGGTTGCTTCAGGGCATTGTGAATATATTATAAGTAGATTTATAAAAATATGGTGTATTATTATTTTGGTGCTCCACTATGTATGATAAATAAGCGGTCTTGGCAGCAACACCAGAAAGTTAAATTTCCAGAGCAAAATATTTTTTCCAAACTCCGCAAGTACTTCAGCACCATCTACCAAAACGAAATTACACACATTCTCTTTAATCACATCTAAAGCAACAAGAAACCATTATCTTCTCAATAAGGCTCATTTTAATATTTCAGCTCAAGAAGAAAAAAGACGTTCCGTCAATAATTTCCATATCCAACATCAACCAAATCCACTAATAACCATGGCTGCAAACCCCTCCACACAACAGCCACTCGAGAAGAAACAAGAACAAGCCGGGAATATAGACCCCGCCGCCCAATTCGATCTAGGCATTACCCTAATCCTCAATTCCTGGCCAGCGCTCAACCTCGCTGTGCAAAGCGCCTGGGGCGGACCCTCTTCCAGCGACAAACGCGACTGGCTCTGCGGTGCTATCTCACAACTCTTCGTTGACCGGCCGGAGACCGACGCGGAAGATATTGAGGATGTCCTGATACAAGTGATGAACGACGAGTTTGATGTCGTCGTTGACGATGAGAGTGCGGGCGATATTGGACGCAGGATCATGGAGATCAGAACGGAAACGCAGAAGGGGGACTTTACAGGGGTGACAAGGATGTGGGACGAGTGGAAGGCGAAGGGGGGTGCCGCTGGTGCTAGTGCTGGAACTTTTACGAAGGTGGAGGTTAATGGGCCTGAGGATGAGGACGAGGATGAAGATGACGACGAGAGTGGAGTTGGGGACTGGGCGGATGATGTTGAGATGGAGGATGCGCAGGTGCCAGTCGCGCCATCAAATAATGACACCCCGAACATTGAAACACCCAGATATGAGGCCCTGAAGGAAACGAAGAGGGGAATAGACGGGCAATGGGAGCGAGGAAAGTTCTTGCCCGAGCCTTTGGTTGATGAGGATGGGTTTACAAAAGTCGTTTCGAAGAGAAGGCGATGATGGATTCCTCCCTTTTATTTCTCTGGCATATATGTCTCTGGTCTTTATGATTCACATATCTTCCCTGCTAGATTACCTGGGAATTGTGGTTAGCATCGAGGGCGTTTATAGTGTTCATTTGTTGTTTGTTCAATACTTCAGGAAAAGTTTTACATGGATAGTTACGAAATAGAAATGCAAGCCATGACTGATGACTTTGAGAAAGTGCGCGATTAGCGAGCTGCCCCTGTGATAAATCATTTTGTATCCGTATTTCACTGGCCCCATTTTTTTTATGTTAAAGATAACCTATATAAAGAACAAGGTTGACAAAAGGAAATCGTAAAATAGTCTAGAAGTTGGTCATGTCATGGTATCAAATGCATTATTCCAGTGCCGTGCCACCACATTCAATGCATTTCCCACTCATGAAAATCGCCCATCTCTTTCCTCAGCTGTCCGCTGGTGGAACCTCCCGACCAAAAAACCAACGAAAGGAAAAAACAAAATAGCTATCCCTTTTGAAACGTGAATCTACTTTACGCTGCTGATGATGGCTCGTTTGTGATCAGCTTGGTAATCATGCCAATGGCAATAGTTTGTCCCTAGAAAACACAAGTCAGCGATAATTCAAACAATGGGTCTGGAAAATGCACGTAGTTGGGGTATTTTACCTGATCACGAAGCGTGAACCGACCGAGCTGGTTATAGTCCTCAAATCTTTCAACGCAAACAGCTCCAGCCCCTCCAATAGTCTCTATTCGAGCAATGATTGTTTGGCCTTTGCTGGCGAATGCCGGTGGCTTCTTGCTCTTCCTGCCTGTATCCTTCTCAAGTTTGTGCAGCAGGGCAGCGAAAGTCACTTCTTCGATAGCAGCGTGGACATGGAGGACGCAGTTGAAGCCAGCCGTGAGAATGCTCTTAAGATCCAGAATTCTAATTTTGGCCTCGAAAGCAGAAACACAGTGGATTGGTCTTTTGGCAGAGCACAAAACAAAGCCTGGCATAACATCTTCTTCTTCAACACCCCGAAGCCGAACACGGACTTGATCGCCGCAAGTCGCCATAGGAAGCTCGTCTTCCGTTTCACCGTACAACGCAGTAACCGTGACCTCCTCGTGGTTGGGCATCATCATGTAGGTGGTGCCTTTCTTTATTACACCAGACTCAATTCGCCCTTCAACAACCGTACCCATATCCCGGTACTTTGCGCTGATGGGCATCATCAAGGGCGCGTTTATTTTACGCTCGGGCATTTTCATGTTGTGGAGGAAGTCGAGCAGGCCACGGCCTTCGAACCAAGGCGCAAGCTCCTTGGGGACGGGCTTGTCAATACCAATAGTCTTCTGCGCAGAGATGGGCATGAAGTGGAGATCTGATTTGGTATAGCCCATGGCTTGAAGGAACTTGCCAATCTTCGTTGTACATTCATCGTATCGTGCTTTACTCCATTCAACAGTTGGGTCATCCATTTTGTTGACGGCAACAATCAACTTTTTCACACCAGAGTTTCGAGCCAATAGTGCGTGCTCGCGGGTCTGACCACCTCGCTCGAAACCGGTTTCGTATTCACCCTTTCTTGCAGAGATCACAAGGATGCCAACATCTGCCTGGGATGCACCACCAATCATGTTAGGGACGAAGGATTTATGACCAGGAGCATCCAGAATAGTATAATGGCGCTCCACCGGGCCATCAGGAGTATTGCCTGAGGTCTTGAAGAAAGCCCGTCCAACCTCCACAGTTTTTCCCTTGGATCTTTCTTCATTTGTCAAGTCCAGAGCCCATGAAAGGTACCACGTCTCACGTCCGGCGTCTTTGGCCTCCCTTTTGTATTTATCCATTGTCCGTTCATCCACCATACCAGTTGCATACAAGATGCTTCCACCCAAAGTTGATTTGCCTGCGTCAACGTGACCAATGAAAATCAAGTTGACATGTTCGCGTTTGTCACCATAAATTTCTCTGAGTGTAGATTCATCGACATCGGCTGCCTGTTCTTTGACGACCGCGTCTGCGTCGCGAATTGCAGCCCTGGCCTCAGCAGCCCGTGAAGGAGAAGACCGTCCGGAAGAAGGTGTAGGTGAAGTCTTGCCGCTACCAGCGGACTTCTTCTCTGTTTTTTCAATAGCTTTCGCGGCGGTAACCTTCGACGCGGCCGTAGCTGCAGCTGGCCCATTTGCATTCCGTAAACCGCTGGCTGGAGTATCCGAAGAAGGTGGAGTGGGTGTGGCGGCTGCGGATGGATTTGGAGTTTTGGATTTCATAGCGTCGCCACCGATCGATAGGACCTTGGCCTTTGGCGGCTGAGAGGCAGGAGTAGTAGTTGCCGGTTTCGACGCTGCAGGAGTTTGTTTCGCGGCGACAGGAGCACCAGCTTGAGGACGTTCAGCAACAGACTGTGGACGCCATTGTTGCTGCTTTTGGGCTTGCTGAGGCCCTCCAGAATTTTGATTGTAGCCTCCATATTGCTGACCATAGGCCTGGCCATAACCTTGGTTATACTGACCGTACGGCTGTTGCTGATAGGCCCCATACCCTTGTTGCGGTAAGCCCTGGCCATATTGTTGGTATCCGTATTGCTGGTACTGTTGGCCTGGTTGGAACGCGGCAGCACTTGGCTGGAATGACGAAGCTCCAGGACGGAAGGATGACTGCTGCTGTTGATTATTCAAGTTTAGACTCTGTTGGGCCTGTCGAGATAGGTTGTCGTCTTGGGCAGCGGGGTCATCTTCCCACGAGTCCAGCGGTTTGTTCGACATGGTGGCTGGACGAGAGCACGAGGTCTGATCTCTATAACGAAGGAAAGCACAATATAAATACTATAGTATGCCTCTATATATCCCAATGTCGACAGAATTGGGGACGGCGACAGGTGGTACTGGAGTTGTGCAGAGTCACTGAGGGGGAGGTTGAATTTTAGGCACAAGCCACTAAACCTATCCAAGCCTAGCTAGCATCTCCAGCGTTAATCGCGTCTGAAGATGACGTCGGCAAGTCGCGTGGGCGCACGTGGGCTTGGCACGCCCCTTTCCGTTAACAGCCCAAATCAGGCAGTTTGGGCCTAAGAACAAACATCTGTCTATCAAGAGGCCAATAGACTAACTCCTCTGATGCATTCGGCCGTTGTGTATTCTCCGTCCATCATGGTGCTGGCAAGCGAACTGACAATACATCTGTATAGCAGCTTTAGATCATGAGAAACTTCCATTGTACTATATTCTCTCTACTCGTCGAAACCCAATCTCTCAGTCAATCTTGTTATCCGCGCGTACATGAGTCGATAGTGGTAGTAGTATTCATCTGCCTAGAAAGTTCAATATTACGGCAGCTTCTTTCCCGACAATGGACGTATTTCTTTCAAAGGTATGAAGGAGACTTGAACCCTTATCCTGGATTCCATCATAGATCAACTGACTGGGTACGAACAGGTGACGCAGCAGGCAATGAACTATGCAATCCGGTAGGAGGCTTGTTTTTACCTTTTCCATTTTATATCAATACGACGGTTTGCTGATCTACTCAAGGTCGGGAATCACCATTACTGCTGGATATGCCATCCGACAGTCCTCCA